GTGCACCGTTCAGGAGGTGGTCATGTGCAGCTTTGATAGGCGACTGTTTTGTCCCCCCTGCCGCCACCTTGATGCTATTTGCGTACCAAATAGGTAGTTTTTAGAAATTTGCGAGATGTCATTCTAACGTGTAAAAAGTCGAAATAAAGCACGTATACTAATAGGTGGATCGCGAGCTACCGGTTAACCAGCGCTACCTGTAGAGTGAAAAAAATTCGTCAATTAGGAAATATGGATTACTGTGTGTGTATGTGATAATGTGAACTTACCACTGACTGTCATTTTTACGGTAATAGAGGCTGAAGCGGGGAGAGGAGTGCCATTCGTGTCAGTAGCGTGGATGGTGAAATTGTAAACTGAAGTGGGATTAATGTTGGGTAGTATGAATTCCGGCTTCGTCACCGTAACCTTGTCCTGATAAGTTGCATTGCGGACGATGACCTGGTACTTGTTTCCGATCTTACTAGAATCAGCTGGTGGCTTCCAAGTCACACGAATGGTTGAAGGATTCACAAGCGAAACCTTCAAGTCCTTTGGCACGGGCACGTCTACAGAGAAAAGTTGAATAAGTCATCAACCTTTGATAATCTGCCGGTAGCTTCAGTTATTTATTTAAATGTGTTTATTGCATCAGTGGAGGATGCTGAGATCAGGACTTGAAGAACACGAATTAGGAGCTCACATAGCCGTACACATAAAAATTGAAGCAATCACCGCTCAGGGAGACAAACACCGTGAAGTCCAGAGCGTCAATAAAGTGAGGCAAACTATTTAAACCAGAATTGGCTTGACCGCATTCGGAAGTATAATAACGCACATATACATGTACATGATTTCGCCAGCAGTGGCTTTAATAAAATCCCTGGAGACTCTTTGTAAACTGTGAGTTGTCGTTTGAACAAGGTCTTACTTCCACTAAAGGCGATGCAAGTTAGCAATGCCGCCTCCAAGACAACACTGCCTGGAACGCGAAGTGGTGCACAGTAGTGTTAACTTCAACTTACAACAGGCTGGTATTCGAGTGGTAATTATTGTTTTAGAGGGGAAAGGCTTGCCACTCTTGTCAACAGCCTGGAGAGTGAAATTGTAAATGGAAGAGGGCTCCAAGGTGGTTATTGTCTCCTCTGTCTTCGTGAGCTTATAGCTCTTCGTGTAGGTGTTATTGTTGACAGTGAGCAGATACTGTTGTCCCCATGGCTCTGAAGTAGTTGGTGTCTTCCAGGCCAGGCGGATAGTTTTGCAATTCAGAATCGTGGCAGTGAAATCCTTTGGAATAATTGGCACACCTACAAACAGAAGGAAAATCCGAACTCACGTTGACATCGTAAAAGGCTACACACAGCGCAGCCAAAATATGATATACGCTTGGGGTACCACAGAATAATGAGAATCTGACTATACAATCTAAGGTACAATAACTAGCTGCAGGTGGTTACTCGTGGTCACATATAAGAGGACATATCATGACATTGTATACCTTTCTCACTCCCTACTGAAAAACTCATAATCAGGCAACAGCAAGTCTACCTGGTAGAGATGCAGCCCCTAAACACACCCAACCTCCAAGGCTTCGTGCTGGTGTGTCAAGCTGATCAACCACGTTAGCCGTTGTTTGGAGAACTGAAGCCAAACAAACTTTACGACCTTAGTGTACTGATCAGATCGTACGCATTCAAATCCGCTGAACTTTCATCCTGGCGAAGTTGCGACCGTCTTGAGCAAGCCGAGGACCTCATCCACGCCTTGATCCACGCACGCACTTTGAGCAACATCAACTAGCTGCTCGGTAATCATATTATCCTGAGCAACCACTATGACACACTGATTCCAAGGTTACAGGGCATCTGTGGCAACACAATGCGAAGACGATCGGAGGTGGACAGGGACAAACTGAATACCCTTTAACGATTCAGCTACAGTCGATATGATGAACACATGGCGATTTCGTAGGTCCAGTCATTACATGGTTGCCGAGATAATGAAAAAGGTTTTCGATCAGGTATAGTTTGCCAAGTAGGGTAGTAACATTATGTTGGGATGGCCTGGACGCGAGTTATCACTCGGGCAATCCGGAGAGTACCAGAACAGCGGGTCCTTACTGACGACCGGTTCATGCAGTTACAAGCGACCGTCAAAGGGCGGACATTAGGCCAGGACAAAGAAGGCACGCGAAGCGAAACTGCCCCGGAGGCGGGTTGCTGCTATCAGTGAGGTCACGCAGAGGA